TGTAAATAATAAAATAAACTACTACTTACTACTTTGCAGTTTTTCACTTACTGCGGGGCTTCAGGGTACAGATCCCCTGTGATAAATGAGGGACTACTGTATTGTGACATGTCACGCTCACATTATGTGTTGTGAATGACTCGCCTGTTACCACACTAAACTTTAAAACTGGCCATGCTACAGCCATTCTTGTGTATGCTGATGTTAACTACACATGTAGGCGTCTTGAATTGAATTGACTCCAAAAAGTTTGTCACGTGTAGATCTGCATTCAGTGACGAATTTCTGAAAGTCTCACTAGAATTCATCCTGCGGTTACTGAGATATTTTCATTACAGATACATGAACAAAAACATCGTCGCCCTTGTTTGCCTCTCGAGCAACAAGAACGCAGCTGGGGAACAGTTTTCTGTTTTTTTTTTTTATCTTTTCCTTTTCTGGTTTGGGACTTTCACGAGTTATAAAAAACAACAACAACTCCTTTTCATATTTGTACTGAGCAGTTCAGACAGTACCAGTGTACTCAGGGAAGCAGATGGTCAGAGGGCTTTGGGTGATCTTCTGCTCAAACAGGTCCTTCTTGTTGAGGAACAGGATGATGGAGGTCTCCATGAACCACTTGTTGTTGCAGATCGAGTCAAACAGCTTCATGCTCTCATGCATCCGGTTCTGAATGTGACGGGCACAAACGTGGAGATGAAAAGATGAATAGACAGCAAACGCACAATAAATAAATAAACCTGAGAATGAGCTTTACTGGAAAATGCAATAATCTTTTTTATTTTTCTTCTACAACTCCAGCAGTGTGATGCTCGACTCACCATCTCCTCATCTTCAGCCAGAACCAGGTCATAAGCGCTCATGGCTACACAGAAGATGATGGCTGTGACGGTCTCAAAGCAGTGGATCCACTTCTTCCTCTCTGACCGCTGACCTCCAACATCAAACATCCTGCACACACACACGCACACAGTCAACACGTATTTATGAGATGGCAGATGAAGCAAAGTGGACAGAACAACTTTTCTAAATGGCAGACAAGCTGAACAACTCTAAGGCCTCTGCCTCGTGTTAGGACAGAGTGTCTGATTTATAAAACTTTTTTTAATGCTGGTGTTTCTGTACAGTGCTGTTGCCGTGGTAACAGGATGGGCCTAGGACAGGTTGAGGCAAGATGACTGCTGGAATTCCGTTTAAGATATTACCGTATTTTTCGCCATATAAGTCGCACCTTTTACATAAATTTGCAAGTCCTGCAACTTATACAGTGAAGCGACTAATATGTCCCCCCCCCCCCATATTTATAATCCTAATTTATGGCTGAGAGCTGACGATTTCATTCATTCTGACATGGAAAATATTGAACACTAACAAAAAGTCCATGCTCAATAATCCAGGTATACAAGCCAACATTTTTCAGTCAGGTCATCTGGACAGTTTCTTTTTTTTTTTTTTTGTGCTGAAACGTTTCGCCTTCGATCCGGAAGGC